GGCAACGCAGGCAGCCGAGAAGCCCTGGGAACGAGGATGGGCCAAAACTAGCTGTTTTGATATTATTTTTTTTGTTCCCGGGGGGTTTGTTCACAACATGGCGACTGTTATAAACGGACAGAAATATAAAAATCATAAAATAATGCGAATTTCCATAAAAATTCCGAGTAATATTTGTGAAGATGAATGGGTAAATAAAGCACGGTGTTATTTTGTGTCTCTGGCGCAAGAATGATCGACCATATTTTGAATAATTCAGGTAAGGATGGCTTTATTTCGTTCTCGTATAGTGATGTAGTCGTGCCGTGTGCCCTGTCTACCTGTCTGGTGATATATTTTATAATACATGAAGGCATTTATATTTAAATCTGCTGTTTATACTTGTTTAGTCACTTTAGTGTATTGAACTTCGATATAGAGGCATTGAAACAAAATGATTTCAAGAATATATCGGCAATTATAATACCCACTGAATCACTGATCTATTCCCGACCAAATCGACAGTAATGATTAATGCCTTTATGCTGATACAAGAAGCAAATGAACTTTTAGTTTATTTGTTTGTTATGTCACTTAATATGTGCAAAGCCAAAGGCGGTGAGTATATAATAGTGTTCGGTACGTTCTATTTCTAAATGTTTATAGTTTAAAACCAAACGCGGGATGTTGTTAAATCAGGCTTAACAAGATTCCTAGAGCTACCCAGTGTGGATTGTTGTCTGCATATATGGACTTATCAGTAATTACATGTAATATAGCATATCAACTGACTTTTGTATAAGATATGACTTGTATAAGGCCTCAGTTATATATAAAGCCTATAAACATGATTCTACTGACATACATTGATATATACATATGGCTGTGTTACCACAATAATGCTCACAACTTCAACTTCTTTCTAACAATATAGTTTGGCAGTTCTGACTGTTCTGAGTATGATCTTATTCATTCAGAAATATAAGCATTGCACTGTATTCAATGGCAAGCTATCCTGGATTCCAGAGCCTTCAGTTAATAATAAATTGAAATATCGTGAAGGCTCTGGTTCAACGGGAGGTTTCTTTGATTAAACTGTGCCAATCACAAAACAGAATTAGCAGTTTTAGTACAGATTTTGGGCGTGTTAACCCATTAAGCGCCAGCGCTCTCCCCTTGACGAGTAAACTCGTCTGGCGTTAGACAGAGTAAAATACTCTGGCGTTAGACAGAGTAAAATACTAAAGTAGGGTGCATCAGGGTGCAATGCGACCCAATGGGTTAACTAGACACATGGGCAGATAGATCAGTTAACCAATTAAGCGCCAGCACTCTCCCCTTGACAAGTAAAATTGTCTGGCGTTAGACAGAGTAAAATACTGTTCAAAGTAGGGTGCATCAGGGTGCAATGCGACCCAATGGGTTAACTAGACACATGGGCAGATAGATCAGTTAACCCATTAAGCGCCAGCACTCTCCCCTTGACGAGTAAAATCGTCTGGCGCTAGACAGAGTAAAATACTGTTCAAAGTAGGGTGCATCAGGGTGCAATGCGACTCAATGGGTTAATATAGTACATAACATAGGTCATAGACATACAGTTTCAATACAATACAAAATGATTTTGAACAACGCCAAGGTCAATGAAATCATACAAAATGAATTTATGGAATATCAATTAAATGTATTTAAAACAAACATAATTTCAACATCCCAATAAGCAATAACATCCCAGTAAGTATAAATTCAACTATTTTAAATCAATTGTTTGAATAGCCAAATTAAAAGTTGTACGAGTGACAAAATCATTCAATAATATTCACATTTTATCATTTGTATTATGTGTCAACTATCAAAGTTGCACTGTTATTAGTATATTAAAAGATACTTTTCATAAGATTAGATGTAAGATATAATTGTACGAAGGTGACTGAGGAACGACGATGTGTAAGACAATAAATCATACATACAGTGAAAAACGCTCTTTTTGTAGCACATCCTACATGTACATATCGGCAGCATTTTCCTTGCGATAGTAACTCCTAGTTTTACCAATTATAACCATCTTGTAAACTAAACAATTAATTTCTTGAGTCTGCAAGGTGTTAATATGATTCGGAGAATCTGAGTATGTATTATCTTCAATTACATAACATGTACATAATGGAAACTACCCAGTTCATTGGCGGAATATATATCTGATATATATTTCATTGGCGGAATATGTATAATTTATTTTCTGTTTTTCGTGAGAACTGCACAAACAAGCTACCGGATTGATCTTGAATTGTCTTTCAGCAACGATATTGTTATTGACACAACTCAAATTTCTTGAACAAAACTAATGCCGTAATGGGGACGACAACGTATTATCTGTACAGATATTTTTTCGTTGTAGTATTTGTATTTGGAATTCTCGGTAATATTTTGGTGATCATCTCCATACTAAGACAAAAGAAAGTGATGAAGAACAACTACTACTTTCTCGTTCTACATCTTGCAATGTATGATCTGGGGGCAGTAATTATTTTCCTTTTCGATCATATCAAGTGGCGTTTTGTCGAAGAACAACTTGATATTAATTCCACCAAGTATTGCGTTTTCTATATGCTATATCGTACGTCTTTCAAACTGCAGGAATAGGTATGATGTTGATCATTTCACTGCTTCGTTATCGTGCTACTGTACATCCCTTAAAACCTGCCATCAGTCGACGGAAATTGAAGTCGTTTGTGGTTTAGTGTACATTGTTGGTTTTATTGCAGGCTATGGAGCATATCTACCGTTATGTTTTATGCGTGGGAGCGATGTCCCAATTGCCTATTTTAAAGTTTATATTGGTTACTTTATATCGTGCCTTTACTTTTTCCCAACAATATTTATGGCTGTGGTTTATTATAAAATAGGTCGAGCACTGATTAAACAAAACAAACACATGAAAAGTGTATGTTCAAATCCAGTGAGACGAAGTGCGCCTGACTCTAATTCCTTCAATATCCCGAAGTTTATCCGAATTCGTCGAACTTTTTTTGTTTGTCTCATTACTGTCCTATGTTATGGGATTGGATATATTCCCATGGCTGTGTGGGTTATTTTGTACATCGCTGGAGAAAATAATTTCTTAATGAAATACGTTTGGATTAATTATTTGGTAGATGTTCTGAGAGTTGCTGGTTCGCATTCAGTAAATCCTCTCATATATGGAATATTGGATAAAAAATTGCTCACATATTGGAAATTTTGCCGCAAAAAGAAACAGAGACTGCAGGGAAACTGATTTAGACAATTCTTATAGCAAGCTGGACAAACGAAACATCTTCATAGATGCATGAACGATTGTTTTTCCTGGATGAAATTCAGTGTATCTCCTTCGCTGTGTACTACATGTACAGTCAAAAATAGAAAATAATGAATCTGCTACATAACTTGTAGAGAAATTTAGATTTAGCTTTGAATAAACATGCATATATGACAGTAAAAATGCGTGCGTTTTACTTTTGAAGTTTTGGCCAGAACTTTTGAGGGTTTCAGAGTATTTGCAGATTAATTTCTTGCTTGACTGATTATCCATTGACACATTGATTTATCCATTGATTGTAAATATTTATAATAGTTTTCTGACTTAGAAAGTCGTACCATTGAACCCAAAATACCTGGAACGTTTTTTTTTTTCATAAAAAAGATAGGTCTAAACTTAATTTTAGTTAAATTGCAGATATAACATAATCAACATGATATTATAGATCATAAATGTATAAATATCTTTAAGATACGACCATGAAATTTTGTAGTGTACGACATTTGAAAGCAAGTTAATATATTAATAGTTTGTTTACTTCTTGATATATACTGTGCGTGCCATTTTCTTCTGCAACGTTTCAATAGGCCAGTTTGCGCTTGAGTAAAAAACACATTGTATATATGTATTAATTAAAACAATTTATGAAAGGCAAGAAAAATGCTGTGCTCCATAATTCAGGGGCGTACGTAGGAAGTTTGATAAACTTAGGAGAAGAGATCTACTCCTACAATTAAGGATTGAATACTTGAATTGTAGCCAAAGGGTGAAAAAGAGTTTTTCTTGGTTTTTCATCCAGGTTTAATTCAAATTTGGCCCATATACTTATATTATATAGCAAGCTTCAATGTGTCCTTTTCGTTTGCCTGAACTTTTCCGGCTGCAGTGCTAACTCTATTCTTTTCTAAGTAAAAGAAAAAAGGACAAGACACAATAGAGGGGTCTAGATGGGAGGGGGTATGAAAATCAATAAACAAGAAAAAGTTTGGTATTTCAGTTTAATAACGATACATTTTGGTATTTTAACGGTAAATCTTGGAAAAGTGTTCTGAAACAATAAACAGAATTTTTTCCTCACCGCTTCACGATAAATATTTAATGTTTTCACGACTGACGTAACCGAAATTGAGTGAATCACGACTCACGATATACCCCATCAACACCCTCATAGAACGAATTTAGGGTGTGCTTTTTGTCACGTCCGTGTAAGTACTAGATTTACCACATCTCAAGCTCGCTAATGACGTTTCTGGATAACTTTAAACAGTAACTGATATGTACGAGGCATCTCAAAATGAAATAATATCACGCTTCTGTTCATATAAACGGCTAATTAAGTATGCTATGTAGATACTATATACCGTGTAATTTGGATTTTTAATTCTGAATGTCAGTTCATTTGGTAATATGCAATAAGTTTAGTTTACATGCAATGAATTTGATACACCTGCCCATGCATGCATGAGCTTACAGCTTACAAATTATTTCAATGAGTAGATATATGGATAATTATATATAGGTAGATATATAGATAATTTTATAACAACAAACATTACAGCTCTAGAGCTGAACTGCTCTCACTGTTACATACGGCGCGTATACTTGTTGACTGCAGAGCTTGTTGACGTCGGTCATATAAAGACATATAGGCCGGTTTTTCTCCAATCTCGTACCCAGAGCATGTCCGTTCGCAGGTTAGGGTTGGGCATATCCTAACCTGCGAACGGGCATGCTCTGGGTACGAGATTGGCTTTCTCAATTTTAAAATGTTTCTGTCTCGCCGACCCTTGCCGCGTATATGCCAGCGTATGCCACCGTATGCCACCGTGCTTGAATACGCTAGAGGTACTCCAGATGTACGGTACTCATGCGCTAAGGGTTTTTGTAATTTTGTGCGCATAAAAATTATTTAATTGATTTTCATATGCTTCTCATACGTTTCTCTCATACACAATAGTATGACAGGGCCTTCAGAGATATGCATAATGCGATCATATCCAATAAAGTCATGAGCATGGTTTAACAACTTATCAAAACTGGAGGGGGCGTGCTCACAAATAATGAAAAATGTTGTAGCCTCTTCTGCAGGCATCTCTATAGGAGTGACCTGTGCCAAACTCGTTTCCACTGAAGCTTTTCTTTCTTGTATCAAGCATGGTTTTCTCTAAACTATTTCGCTATGCCCAATATCTTCAGTCACCCGGAACGTACATGATTCGTTTTTAGAAAATCCTTTAATAGTTCAATATGAGAATTACAGTTAATAGCTAGGATGGTACAAACTTTTTCGAACGGTTAGGATCGCACTACACCAGTTTAGTTTAAAGCATACACGTCGTTATAGGGACCTTTCATTATTTATGGGAGGGGGGATGGGTGAGAAACTGGGGGACCTGAGAGTTTTCCAGATGAAAAAAGGCGGGACTGCAATTCTGGTACTAAACCAAATTATGGGGGGAGCTGAAAATGAAGGAAGTTACATCTATGAATTTCAAAACCTCGTTAATAACTTGATGAGGAAAAAAACAAAAAGAAATCAGATTTACATAAACTTCACTTTGAATTTCTCCTGTTAGACACTGTTGATTTTCAAAATTACTAGGTGAAATAGATCGTTTCTGAAGCTATTCAAAATACTCACAGTACATGCTTCATCAGATCTATTAAAACACTTGGTTAACGCCTCGTGTTATAAATCTGATAAAAGATTGCTGTTGCATGGTGCTTTGAACTATATTATTAATACATAATAACTAACTTTCTTTTCTCGGCTCTCTATCCGATCCTTGCTGTACAAAGTTTATAGTTACACAAAAGGAATCAAAAACAAAGATGTACATTTAATATAGTGTGAATTGTACATTGTAGCACTGTATATATAAATATATGCATATATAAATTGCAATAGCTGTAGAACAAAAAAGTACATGTAATACGATTTCAGATTCGGAAAATTACAAGCAAATATATTATACTTTTGATTAGTATGCGCCATTTGATGCGCAAGATTACTTTCTATTTTCTTGAGTGAAATACTATATTTGACAAATAAAGAGAGAGAGAGAGTCCTGGCAACTATAGTCTGTTACCGTGACAACCATATAAACATGCCAAGATGTTTGCGTAAGTGCACTTAGTAATTGTACCAAATTTTCTTTAATTTCGTTCAAACACCTTTGAGATATCGATTTTTCTTCTTTTTGCCGCAAGAACAACTAGTGACGTTACAACTCCTA